TCTTCGTGAACGACGAACTCATTCAGAACGACGTCTGTCCGGGTATTTCAACTCAGCATTCTAGCAAGCTCCGGCGCCAAAATTTTGCCACTGGATTCCCCGAGCAACTGCCATCGCAGAACCGCGGCACCGACCCTCATGCACGTCTAGGCCCCGCGTACGAGCGCCTCAAAGTTTTGGCAGAAAAATCGCTAACTCGGGAGCTAGAAAAGCTAGAAAGCTGAAACTCTGCAGTTATGCTCCCCGTCCACATAGAACACAAAGATTTCAAATTCAGCCTCCAGGCATGTGTACTTCTCGCGAACGGTTCCGTGAAGGTGTCTGGCTAGGAAATCGCCAACATGGAATCCAGGAAAGATGGAAGGCTGAAATTTTAAGTAGATGTCCTCAGTTCATATACAACTGAAATTTGTCAAATCCAGCTCCCAGGCATGCGTGGCTTCCACGTACGGCCTTGTGGAAATTTTTGGCGGGAAAATGGCTAATTCGGGAACCACAAAAGCTGGGGGGCTGAAATTTTCAGGGAATGTTCACAGCACATGTACAACTTAAAGTTACTAAACTTACCCCCTTTCTGTGCTTGGTTCACACGTACGGCCCCGTGAAAATTTTTGGTGGGAGAACGGCTAATTCGGGAACTAGGAAAGAAGAAAAGCTGAAATTTTTATGGGATGTTCCTTGTCCAAATACCGCGTAATAATTCCCGAACTTCGAGTACCAGTGTTTCACACATTCTAGTTGATAGGTTTCCGAGCGATGTCAGTACAGCACGAAATACTGCAAAAACGCATGATCGCACGGGCTTGCCCGGTGCACGTCGCCAGTGATTTTCTTTGAGAGGCGGAATCGCTCGGAAACAGTTCGAGTAGCAGGGATGTCGACAACCACTTGCATTAGGCTTATGGTAACTCTAGCACGTGTCTGCGACATTTTCACCATCTAAACTACTCGGCATCCTGCCGAGGGATTGGCTTTCAGTTTTATCGGAATCGAGCCTTTTTCCTGTGGCATGTGAGTAACGCTACTTCTACCACACCATGCTGCTGACCCGGCAAATACGTAAGAAGATGAATTTTTTTGAACGTTTCAATGAATTTTAGGCAAGGAAAAAATCGACGACAAGCAGCTTCGTTTGGCAGCTGCTCTCGGCGCACCCGTCGGTGCTTTTCCGGCTATACTATCAGCTTTGGATGAAATTGGTTTAACAGGTGGAAGTGTTGTTTTGTTGAAGGAGTTACACCGGCTACTCATCTGTTGCGTTAAGGTATGCTCTACGCATTCGCTGTTTGTGAAAGCGGCAAGCAAAGAAGTAACCGATTCCTCAGATGACCTTTGAAAAGTGGCACACATACACCAAGCAAAGATGGGTATTGACTGAAAACATGCAGCTTAAGAACCAATGCCCTAGCACAGAGGCAGGCTTGCATCCCATCAAAATTATCAAGTTTGAATCAGCATTTCGATTGTTTGGAAGTTCCTAGTTTTTTTGATTTTGATTAGTTTTTGTTTGAAATTTTTATGAGATCTGGTTATTTTTAGGTTGAGAGCAACCGCCGGCAGTTAAACGAATGTGGTGGCATTCGAAAGTTTCTGCATGTCGTTGAAGTGATATATAAAAGTGGCGTCAAGGACGACATAGCTGAATCTATTACACTGCTTTACCTTGATCTAACGAAGAAATTGTTGGCTGATGTCCTCGCTACTGATGAGATAGAAAAGGTAAGTATATAATCAAGGCAATCTACAAAATCTCATCACCGTAGTTATACGGCAGCAAAGAGGACAGGAGTAGCAGGGATAGTCCAACAGGTAACCCAATCATTTTCAGCTGAGTAGTTTTGAAGACGTTTCCTTTTAATGTATAGCGGGAGGACTTGTGGCAGAGCTTTTGCATACTTTACGCCTCAGTAAATAGCATTAAAACAGATATAAGAAAGCAAGTACAGTTCTTTTATTTTGCAGCAATAGCCTTCTGTCTTCCTCCATTTCAGCATGAAAATTATTAGTGAATTGGACACTGACGTTTTGCATGCAAATTTAATTGAGAAATTGTTTTGAATTAAAACACACCGAAATTTTGTCATTAAAAACGACTTTTGCGGTTAAATGCGTTTTCCGATGGATTTGTCCCTTTTTAGCTTGTATAGTTATCCGTGAGAATTTTTAAAAGCAATATTTTCTTGTTGATAGGCTTGTTGGCGATGCATCTCTTAGAAAAGATTAGGAAGCGTACTAGCTTTCTAGCAGCCTTCTTATATTTTATAGCACCGTTTTGCCGCAGACATGCTTCTCCCGATGCGGGAGGATAAAACATTTCAATGTTGTGTTTTAACGCCTTAGCTTTGACCGGAACATCTAATTTGTTCCCACTGGATGCTTAAAGCAGCCCAGAAAGCACAGGTTTGCCATCAGTTCTGTACCGTTTTAGTACTGGTTTTAATGGGCTGGTGCCCTAAAAAAGTGTATGTTTTTGTAGTCAATTGGCGGTGCGACTTTCGAGCAGATGCAGTGGTTGCTTGAACTTTCAATGGGAAAAGATGAGGGACTTCCGACACCGATCCTTGAAGCGATCACTTCCATCGCACCCAATCTTTGCCTTGGCAATATGGAAAGCATGGATGCTCTAGTTGAAACATTCACTCCATGTTGCCAGTGGAATCAAATTGGTCAGTTTGTTTATTTCATGTTATTTTTAGTGCTCTTCTTATCCGTACTGATTGGTGAAGTGGGAGAAGCCGATTTTGTAAAATTTTTCCCCACACCAGCTAATGAAAAAATTTCAGTTAGAATTAAGAGAAAAATTAATATCAGTGGAAGGCGAAAGCATCGAAAAGGGCATTAAAATCAGGTCATTGTAATGCTGAGCCACTTTTAGCAATAAATGTTTGTTCTCGCGCTTTCCTAGCTGAAATTTTGGCTGACATACAGCAATTTGGCGCTTGTTTTTTTTACTAGAGAAATCATTTGAAAAGTTCCGCAATTCTTTAAAACTCAAGACTGCTTTTTCTTAGCCAAACTGTGTTTGACGTTGAGGCCAGGAGATGCACCCGACTTTTGTAGCGAATAGATGCAAGGTGGGGAAGGGCGGGCGGTGGAAGTCAGAATTTACTTTTTAATGTGAAATTTGTAGAAGACACAAAAACAACAGTTAAAAAACTTTCAGATAGCGACCAAGAATTTTGCGAACGGGTGGCGAAAAAGGTTGAGACGCTGTGCAAAATAACAGCTGCAATCCACAATTCTGCTTCCGGTAGACTGCTGAAAATGAAAATGATGAATGCTGGGCTGATCTCGGGGGCATGCCAGTATTTAGCGGTAAATCATCCGCCTCTGTTCCAAGTGTCTGTGACGGGCCCAGAATGGAAGCATTTTTTGACGAAACCTTCGCTGAAATATGTTTTACGACTAATGGCAGGCATGGCGCGGGATCATCAGCCGTCGCAGGTGAGGCCTATATACTGTTCTTTTGGTGCACTACAGTCAGTCATGATCATCACAGTGAAAGAATAAATAGCGCCCTCCTACCAGGATATCCGGTGCGGTCGTGGATTTTGCGCAGCTTCGTCCAGCGGACGTTTGCCTATTGAGAATTTCTACTTTTTTGCCATCTGGTATTTAATTGTTTTACCATTAAAAATAGACGTTGGTATGCGATTCCTAAGCTGCAAAATTTCGCGTACCGGCTCATGAAACAAGCATACGTGGAAACTAAATTTGAAACCTTTGAGTGACACATGTATAGGGGACATCCTTCCAAAATTTCCACTTCTTAATTTTCTGGCTCTGAGTTAGCGACTTCTGCGCCAAAATTTTCAAAAACCCGTACGTGAGAACTAGATATATATGGGAGCTAAATTTGAACTTTTGAGATCTTGCACAGACGAAAAACATTCTCCTGAAGTCTCAGCCTCTAGCTCTTCTGGTTCTGAAGATAGCAGGATTTTCTCATCAAAAATTTCACAAGCGATATCCGGGCGTATGCGGGAGCTGAATTTAGAAAATTAAATGTGAATGTAGAGCATCCTTCTAAAATTTGAGCCTTCTAACCTGTCTGGTTCCCTAGTTAGTGATTTTCCCACCAAAATTTTCGCGTGTTTCTATGTGGGATTGAATGGGCAGTGTAAAACATGGGCAGGAGATAATCTACTAAAATCTCCTCTTTCTACCTTTTGTGTCTCTCCCAAAATGCTAATTTTTTCCGCTCAAAAATTCAGTTGGCCGTAGGGTGGCCTAGGCATAAATGAAGGCTGAATTTGAATTGCAGAGTCGCAAGTGGGCAGACGGTATTCCCCTAAATTTTCAGCGTCCTAGCTTTACTAGTTCTTGAGTTGAAAATGCGGGGCAAAACAGACGCACAACAGGAAGTGTGACAGTATGTCTTGTGTGCAGCAGTTGCACAGCACAAATAAGGGTCAGTGTTATTACATATGGGGCAGTCTTTTGTTGATATCAAGAATACCAAGACTTTCGAGCTGTTGGTGTATCTCCTGTTAGAACTAGGCCGCTCCCACTCACCGAGCGTAGCTGTGCTGGGCCGTTCGATCCTGAGATGCGTGCTGTCGCTTGTTCGATTTATGTATGTAACCTGTTAGTACCTTCCAGAAATTTAGTGAAATACACCAGGAAACGAATATATTATTGCTCATAATGTAATTATCGGAATTTCAGCAAGCAATAGCCGAGAATTCACTGCCGATTCTGCACCGCTTGGAACAGATCTCGTCATCTGAGCATATTGGAACTCTAGCAGAAAATGTGATGGAAGAACTGAAGAAAAATCAGAGCGTCGCCGTGCAGGTATAAAATGCAATCTTTTAATTAATTTTTGAGCCAGCCAGTCCTTCTACGGCTCGTCCATTCATTTTGGTGGTAAACTAGTACCGGTACTTACTAGGAAGACAGTTCCATCACTAACTTTTGCTTAAGCAACTCCCAGCTGTTAGAACCGTTAACAATTTTGCCAGTTAGTGGTTGCTGTAGGCACATGCTACCGTTCAGGCTACTTCGGTTGCCTTCGCTTCTCAAAGCGAGTGAATATAGAGGTGGCTTTGAAATTTTCGATAAAAATAAGGCAGTATTTCACCCACTTTGGTTTTTTAAATTGATTTTTTAAGCCACCTGAAAGAAAACATATTGAGTGAGGCTGTTGCGAAAGAAAGAAGTGGCTGACTTGGGCAAGTACTGAAGTTGATGATGGCGTAAATAGTTGAAATCCATGTGATATGCAAGTGCCTCAGCTTACGACTCGAGTTCCTCCTTGTAATGTAAAAATGACTTGATTAGAAATTAATTTTTAATTCTGCGGCTTACTGTGTGGCAGCAGCGGTGGGCTGCTGCCGGTCCTCCTCCCTCCAATCGTCTGGCGGTAGCTTGCTGCTGCTTCCTCCTTGTTATGCTCATTAGGTTATGTTGGTGGTTTTTAATAAGATATTAATTGTCTCTGTGTCTGATTGGCACATTACACACACATCCGGTCAGAGGCCGTCCTACATCATTATAAGCCGTATGCGTGGAGAAGAGAACAGACCTTTTAGCATTTGATTGCAGTAATTTTTATCTGTCAAATTTTTTACTGGAATATCTGGGTTGAAGAATATGGGAGTTATTTGTTGAGGGTTATTGCAACAAATTGCCATAGATGATTTTCGATTGCCACGGAGATCACCGTAACGAAGATTGCGATAGACAAAGGCTATAAGTAAATTCTTTTGTATTTTACATTGATAATATGTCAGAACATTTGCATTTAAACAGATTGAGAAGGTGCGCCAAGAAACGAAAGCCAAGAAACGACAATTGGCAATGGCTATGCGTCAAAAACAGCTTTCTGAAATGGGCATGGAGATTGGTAAAAAAGGACAGGTTAAAGTAAGTGAGCTTTCTTTTTCCCTGTACTTAATGCCTTCTCTGAGGTTTCTTGCCTTTCTGCCGCGCCTTCTTAAAAAGTAGCCGATGATACCCTTGTTTATAACATAGTGGTCCCATCCTCTGGGTTTCTTTTTATGCATTTTTTGCATCTATGCAATGCATAAACTCACACTGTCAAGGGGTTGTCTGTGTGTATGTATGTGTGTCGGTGTATCTGTATGTGTGTCTATTCCAAATTTCCATTCGAGACCTACAAAAGCCACAAGACTTAAACTCTGGGACCTTACTTTACATGCATGTACGAGCTCGTATTCCCAAAATGGACTCACTTGCTTTATGTGGTTCCAACGTGCGGACCCGTGAAAATTTTTGGCGGGTAAGTCGTTAACTAGGGGACCAGTTAAGAGTTAGGAAGCCGAAATTTTAAGGGGAATGTTTTTTGGCAGTTGTCGTGGCCAGTCTCAATACTTTTATCTAGAAGCATTTGTCGAGAAAAAAGCGGCAAAAACTTGTGGAGAACTGTGTAAAAACACCTTCGCACCAGCAGTCGGTAAATAATGAAAAGTTATGAAATGCTGTTGAAATGCAGCCATCCGTGAAGTGGAGATGTTTCATATCCTAAATTGTTTCTGTTTAATTTTTAATGTATATGTGCTCGCTTTTGCCTGGATACTGTCAGAACGGTCGCTGTTTTCGCACAGATGTCACTTAACGAAACGTGTCGTCCGTCGTTGTCAGGAAATGAACACGATCTCCCGTATAGCGGAACTGACTTCTTGTTGATAGCACAGTGATGATGCGCAGACACTCATCGTGTCTGATCGTTTATTTTGGCATGAAATGACTAAATATTTTGTCCTCTCTCAGGTACTAGTGTGAACTAAAATTAATGAGACTGTTGCTTGAGGTGTCATCAAGAAGAATAGTGAACGAGCCGCATACCGTCCAGAGCACTTCGGAGGTCGGTGCATGTTGCATATGCCGTGAAGAAGTTGATGCAGGCGAGAAAATAATGATGGTTAGTTTGTTACTGTGTTTTGCCTACTTATATATTCTCTTATAAGTGGGTAACATCCGTTCTGTTGCTTCTGTTTTTGTGGTATTCTCAATTTTCGTGCTGTCTGATATGCCTTTGCATATTTTACCTTTGCTCTACTGTTGTTTTATACAAATTTTCAGTGACATGCCTGATCTTTCCTGACTTGTTGGTCTCTTCTTGGTGGTCCTAACGTTCGTCCTTCAGTGATTTCAAAGAGAAATGCTAAGATTTTCATCTTTTATATGGTCT